TGAAGTGAATCAAGATTAATAATCTCAGGCTCCGTGTGTATGCCATACTGCTAAGATACGTGGTAGGCACTCAGTGAAAGCTGAGTGAAAAGCCAGAGATGATGGTGCATGCTTTTCATCCCAGCCCTCAGGAGGCAAAGGCAGGTGCATCTCTGTGAGCTCCAGGCCAGACAGGGATATGTAGTGAGACCCTGTCTCAAAACAGAAAAACAAAAACACCCCCCCCTCTAAAAGTTGAGAGAAGATGTTCTAAGTGCGTGTGGCAGTGTTTACTCAGAGAATCCCCATTCCCACCTCCAGAGCTCTGTAAGGGGTGAGAAACCTGGTGAGTGCTTGTGAAACCTGCCTCAGTGAATGTGTCCTAGTACCCAGCAGGGTCTGACACGTGATCATGGGTGGTTGGCTGGGTTGAGCTGACTTAGTAGCGCCCCCATTTTCTTCCCAGGTGTGGCCCCTGGAGCCAGATTCTGTTAGGACCAGTTTCTGCCCCTTCCGGGAAGGTGAGTGAGTCCCTTATGGCAGGGGGCTGTGTGGAAGGCTGATTTGTGTTTAGTAACCCTGGCCCTCTGCTTTAGATCCCCGAGCACACCGGAACCTTTGGCGCATGGCCAGGCTGCGGCTGCTGTCCTTAGGGACATGGCAGCTAGATGCACCATGCTCTCTGCGGGCCAAGATGGCACTGTGCTGGCAGGCACCAGACCAGGGTCCCTGCCAGCCACTTGTGCCACCGATGCTCCAGGAGAATGTCACTATGAATGTGAGGTCAAAGGCAGACCCAGGGTGGAAAGAGAGAGGGGACCCCAGGGTCTCCCTTCGTGACCTCATTCCTTCCCTGCCTTCCACAGAAGCCTCATGAATTCCCGTTGCTGAGAAGCCACCCCAACCTCTGTGTCCAGGTCAGAATGGTGATCAAAAGCACTGGGCTGAGGGTGGGACCCTGCACCAATTCTCCTTCCAAGCTACAACCTCCACATGCACTACTGGGAACTCATGCCCCCAAGCACACACATCATACAGGGACCCATTAATAATAACAAAAAATAAAGTAAGTTTTAAATTAAAAAATAAAAGCCCTCATTTAAGATTTAGCTGGGTATGGTGGCTCATGCCTACTTTCCTAGCACTTGGGAGGCTGAGGCAGGAGGATGTGCTGCCCGGAGTTTGAGGCCACCCTGGCCTGAGCTGTGTAGTGAATACCAGGCCAGCCTAGGCTAAAGACTGAGACTGCTTCAAAACAAAACAGATTTATTGACTATCTATATGTGCCAGCCACTCTGAGACAGACTTGTCCGTGAACAAAACCGACAACTGTCGCTATCATCCCAGAACCTATTTCTAATGAAGGCAGGTGAAGAAGATGTGTAACTGAGCGTGTTCAAGTGACATCCATGCTGTGGCGAAAGGCGAAGGAATGGGGCAGGGCGGAGGCTGTGACCTCCAGTGGGTGACTGGGTGAGGCTGAATGAATCTCCTCTGAGGTGTCAGGTGACGGGGAGATGGGTGTTTTAGGTGCTAACTCAGGACAGGAAGAGCTGTAAGCTCCGTTAGCACAGGTGTTCTCACAAGGCCTGCTCCGAGAAAGATGGGCGACCCCTAATCCTGCCTCCTGACCCCAGATGTGCCTAACCTCAGGTCCAGAGTGCAGAGCCGGCCTGCTGGGCTTCCTCTTGCCTGTTCCCTTCCTTGTGCACTTCCCGGCCCTGGCTCTGGCTTTTGCTAGCGCTCCTAACTCTGGCTCCTTCTAAGCAGGTGAGCACCTGGGAGAAGGTCCAGCTCCAAGAGTGCTTGTGGGCTGGTGAGTGGGGCTGGAGGGTGGCTGGGACAGGGCACCTTGCAATGGGGTGAGCCGGGGAGGAACTGCTCCCGGGGCTGACGGTCGGGGGGTGAGGTGGGGGGGGAGGAAGGCAGGTGGCAACTCCCGGGTGGGTCTTACTAGAACGGCCTCTCACCCCTCCCAGACTCCTTGGGGCCCTTCAAGGATGATATGCTGTTAGTGGAGGTGAGAACTGGCCCAAACAACACAGCAGTCTGTGCCTTGGAAGCCGGTGGCTGCACAGCACTGCCCAGCAACGGCTCTACGGTGAGGACCAGGGAGCCTTCCTCCAGACCTTTCCAGCTCCCTCTCGACCGTGGCCTCATGTTCTCATTCCATCCCACTTCCTCTACTCTGCCATTGCTCTGCCAGGCCCAGTACTCTCTCTGGGGATAGTGTGTGTGTGTGTGTGTGTGTGTGTCCGTCCGTCCGTCCGTCCGTCTGCCCCTTCTCTATGGCTTCTCAAGCCTCCCAGCTCCTCTTGACAAACACTTCTGCTCCACCGCAACGCCTCGCACGCTGCCCCAGGTGACAATCCCCCTTCCCTTGACTTGGCAGAGAGCGGCTCACCTGGGAGAGCAGTTGCTGCAAGACTTCTGGACACAGCAGTGTGTGCAGGTGAGCTGGTGACAGCTTGTGTCTACAGGCAAGGTCCTGCCGCCCGGCATGGGCCTACCTGTTTTGCCTGCTTTGCGTCTAGCCCAGGGTAGGTAAAGGGTAGGAGCATACAGTTCCTGTCCCTCGGGTGCTCACTTCTGGCTAGAGATCAGCAAAGTGACACACGCCCCCAGGAAGTGTTAGGTTCTGAGGAAGACTGTCTTCCAAGGCCCCACTTGGCACAGAGCTCAGCGTGGGCACAGCTGGAGCAAAAGCAGAGAGTGCTTGCAGGAGCCTGCGCTGGGCAGGGCAGTGTGCATGGCCGGGGCTGGGAACTGGAAGACGACAACGCTGCTGCCGCTGCCGCTGCCGCTGCCGCCGCTGAGCAGACGTTATGGGGTGTCGAACACTAAGCAGGGGACTGTGGTTGTGTCTTACAGCTGTGGAATGATGATGACCTGGGAGCGCTGTGGGCCTGCCCCATGGACAAGTGTGAGTATGACAGGAACTCTTTCCGTGTACCGGGAGCTGACTCTGCTGACAGGGACTACACATCACATACGTGAGGCTTTGCCTGGCTCAAATAGATATTCACTCGGAAACCACAAACAGGCAGAAAGATGGTTCAGCCGGTAAAGGCACTTGCCACCAAACCTGACAACCTGAGTTCCCTGGGACCCTTGAGTTGTCCTCTGACCTCCACACATGCGTTATGGCGAGTGGAGGGACAGAGACACATAGAGACCGAGAACACACTTTCAGGAATCCCAGCCCTCACCAACACAAGTCTAAGAGGACAGAGCCGAGAACACCCAGTAAGTCTGAGCTGTTGAATGTTTGCAAGTGTGATCTTACAATCATGAGCACTCTCGAAGCACTAAGCAGTGTAAAGGGTTCAGTGCAGTGGCTGAGCAAGGTGGGGACCTGGTCTAGGTGGGACGAAGGGTTGGGGGGGAGGGGAAAGGTCCCCGCCTCACTGTGAAGTCTGACCTAGGTAAAGGGGGTCAAGCTGCATTATTTTAAGACTGTGGAGTATATTTCTGAGAGTTTCCAAGGCAGTCAGTGTGGTTAGAGGGTCATGGGAGGCCCAGGACCGATGTGGGATTTTATGTTCCCAGCAACACCAGCTTCCTCAAGGGTTAGAATAAAGCTGTTTTAAACAGATCTTGGATACCCAGAGTGAATGGACTGAAGTCAGGAGGCTATTGCAGTCATGCAAGACGGCAAGGTGAAGGGCCTGCCACCAGCTTATGGGATATCAGCCGCCATTTAAACACTTACAAGGCCTGGCACCGTTATGTATTTTACGTGCAACCCTATGCACTTGGTACCATTATCCCAAATTTACAGACATGAGAATTGAGGTAGGTCACCCAGATAGATGGAGCTCTTTCAATGCATAGGCTCTGACACTGTGACTTTGGGGCAATTCACTTCAAGTCTATAGGCCTCAGTTTCCCTCCTCCGTGAAGCGGAGTGTGAGTTGTAAGGTTTCTAACTAGCCCATTCTTTCCTGTCTATCCCAGACATCCATAAGCGCTGGGTCCTGGTGTGGCTGGTCTGCCTACTCTTGGTCGCTGCGCTTTTCTTCCTTCTCCTTCTGAAAAAGGACCGCGTGAAAGGTGAGCACTTCCCTGTCCCGGTTTCCCAGGGACAGCCTCAAAGGGTGACGCTGGGCTCGAGTGGGTGGAGGGAAGGCAGGTCCAGGGTCACCCTGATGGGCTCTGCTTTCCCGACAGCGGCCCCCAGGGCCCGCACAGCCTTGCTCCTCCACTCCGCCGACGGAGCGGGTTACGAGCGTCTGGTGGGCGCGCTGGCGTCAGCGTTGAGCAAGCTGCCGCTGCGCGTGGCCGTGGACCTGTGGAGCCGCCGCGAGCTGAGCGCGCACGGGGCCCTGGCCTGGTTCCACGGGCAGCGGCACCGGACCCTGCAGGAGGATGGCGTAGTGGTCCTGCTCTTCTCGCCCGCGGCGGCGGCGCAGTGCCAGCAGTGGCTCCAACATCAGACGGTGGAATCAGGGCCGCACGACGCCCTCGCCTCCTGGCTCAGCTGCGTGCTGCCCGATTTCTTGCAAGGCCGGGTAGCCGGCCGCTACGTCGGGGTCTACTTCGACGGGCTGCTGCACCCCGACGCCGTGCCCGCCCCGTTCCGCGCTGCGCCGCTCTTCTCCCTGCCCTCGCAGCTGCCTGGCTTCCTGGATGTCCTGCAGGGAGGCTGCGCCCCGCGCCCCGGGCGGCTCGCGGACAAGGCGGAGCAAGTGGCCCAGGCCCTGCGGGCCGCCCTGGACAGCTGCACCTCGTATTCGGGAGCCCCGGGCTGCGGCGAAGTATGGGACCCGGGATCCTACCCTGCATTCGAATAAAGACAGACGCAGTTAGCCTAACCGAGTAGCTCTCGTGTGTATGTCGTAGTTAACAGCAAGCAGAGCCTTTAACCCCGCGGCCCTTTAAAGCCGGGACAGGTGCAGCCCGGCGCCGCTTCTGGTTGGTTGGTGTGTGGGTGACGCAATGGCACATGGCCGTTCCTCATTGGCTGTGAGGAGGCCCCGCCCTCCTGACTGCGGCGTTGGAGAAGGTGGTACTTTACCGAGGCAGTGGCGTTTAGGAGACTCGGCCCACAACTCCCGGGGCGGGGGCGGGGACTTTTTTTTCTCCTTGTAGTCTAGCCGGGTCTGGATCCTTCCCGGCCTGTTGCAGGCCTTTTCTCCGTCTTCCAAAGAGGCTCTGAATTTGACCCCTTCTCTTCATATCCGGATCCGGGCTCCTCCCCCAGGACCGCCCATCCGGCTTTCTCTCGAAATATTTGGGATCTGACCCTTTCTAATTCTGGCCCCTAATAACTCACTAAGACCCTAAAACCATGGGCTGACGCCTAGCCTTTTGCCAGCGATCCCGGCCACCTGCCCCTACGGTAACGGAGACATAATTTCTCTTCGGGAATTGCAGATTAGGCTCCATTCCCCTCCCAGCGCCTCAGCCTCCAGTACCCCAATTCGTCCTCGTTTGTAATTACGTAGGTCTGGGGCTTTCAGCCCCAAGGCACCTCAGAACCAAACCCTCCCTCTCTTTCCTCCTTACAGCCTGGCTTCTCCAGTGAACCCTCCCCTTGACCTGTATCTGCACGTCCCCAGCCTGGGAAAAGATGGCCCCACAGCCCCTAAGGGGCCTGGTCCCATCTCTGCTCTGTGGCCTGAGCCTGTTTCTGAGTCTCCCGGGACCTGTCTGGCTCCAGCCCTCTCCTCCTCCCCTTTCTTCTCCCCGAGCTGAGCCCCATCCATGTCATACCTGCCGAGCACTGGTGGACAGCTTCAACAAGGTGGGTACCTCGAGGGATGGGCCCATTAGCAGAGAGCAGGGAGCTCTCAATGCAAATCTGCATGGACTCTAGCCCCAATATGGGTTGCTTGCTTTAACTGTACGGCCTTTGGGTAAGGTGCTTCACAGTGCCTCAGTTTCCTGATCAATAACATAAAATAGTGGAATGTTAGAATGTTAGGCCGGGTGTGGTGGCACATGCTTCTAGTCCCAGCACTCGGGAGGCAGAGGCAGGTGGATCTATGAGTTCAAGGCTAGCCTGGTCTACAGTAGAGTAAGTGCCAGGATAGCCAGGGCTACACAGAGAAACCCTGTCTCCAAAAACAAAAAGAATGTGTGTCAGGCGCTGTACTTGAGCATTCCTAATTTCTTCCGTATCCAGGGTCTGGAGAGAACCATCCGGGACAACTTTGGTGGTGGAAACACTGCCTGGGAGGAAGAGAAGTTGTCCAAATACAAAGACAGGTAAGAAGGTGGCCGGGAGGTGTAGCTCCCAACTCTTGGTCTCTGTGATTGGCTGGAATAGATTCTCTTGGGAAGCATTCATTCTGCAGAACAGCAGTAAACAAGGAAACCAAGCCCCATCTTTGTGAAACTCACATTTTAGTAAAGTAGATAAGCAGTACATATCACCTGTCAGTGGAAGAACAGAAATTCAGGTTGGAGGGTGGGTGGGAGGTGATCAGGATGGTCCATTTGAACAGACGCCTCACTGAAGTAGCAGGGCCGACCTTAGTTTCTCTCAAAAGTGGCTGGAGTAGAGTAAGCAAGAGGCTGCAGAAAGGAGTTTAGATTTTGTCCTGAATGTGAGGCCAGAAGAGGGCATTGGACTTCCTGAAACCGAGGTTACAGGCAGTTCTGAGCCACCATGTTGATGCTGGTAATTGAACCCAGGTCCTCTGCAAGAGCAGCCGATGTTCCTAACTGCTGAGCCATCTTTTCCAGCCTCGGGTCTTAAATGAAGCGGTCACTCACACTTAAACCAAGTACAGGAAGCCAGGGCAGCAGGGAGGGGGTGGGCAGGGCAGCTGGGGCTGGCTGGTGGGTAAGCTTCTGCAGTCTACATATAAAGGCAGCATGAGCTAGCAAGACATCCACTAGTGGATACAGCGAGATCTAGTGCTCCCTAGTTGAAATCTGAGCATATTTTGGAGATCATCAGTTGATGGATTCCTTACGGGGCACGAGAGAAAGTAATATAGACCCCTGGCAGTGTGCAGGTATTTTCTGAGGAAGCAAGACTGCAGGGAGGGCGTGGGCAGGGGTGGGGTCAGAAGGTGTGGTGAGATGGCCTCTCAACACCCAGGAAGCCTCCATCTCATCCCAGAGTTCCGGAGAGAGGTAGGAGTAGAAGCAGGAATTTGAGAGGCCCTCCAGCTTTTCAAAGCGTCACTGAAAGGAGGGGCCGGCAAAGTGTCGGAGTTCGGCCTGCTTGTTGGATCTTACTGTTTCCGTTCTTCTCGAGAGCCTCCCTGCCTGATCTTGGTGCTGTGGTAAAGGGTTAAACCATGGTTCCCACTAGGAAGGAAAGGGTTTGTTTTTCTGTAACTCTGGCCATTTCCTCGTTTAGGAAAGCGCTGATACCAAGGGCACTTCTGGCTTTATAATGGCTCTGGGTTCTTTTTCTTTAAAAGTTTTTGTTTTATTCTATTATATATTTTTTCATGTTTTAAATAATTAATTTTTATTTTATGTGCACTGGTGTTTTGCCTGCATGTACATCTGTGTGAAGTGTTGGATTTCCTGGAATTGGAGTTGCAGACAGTTGTGAGCCACCATGTGTGTGGGTGCTGGGAATTGAACCTGTATCCTCTGGAAGAGCAGCCAGTGCTCTTAACCATCCCTCCAGCCCTATTTTCCTTTTCTTTCTTTTTTTCCACTTTTGATACAAGGTCTCACGATGTAGTCACGGCTGGCCTTGAACTCACAGAGATAGGTCTTCCTCTACCCAGCAGTGCTGGGATTAAAGGTGTGTGCCGCCACACCTGGGTTCTTTTTAAACTTTTATCATTTTGTTTGTTTGTTTGTTTGTTTATTTATTTATTCATTCATTCATTTTGTGTGTGTGTGTGTGTGTGTGTGTGTGTGTGTGTGTGTGTGTGTGTATACACGTACGTACACGTGTACATGTGCACAGCTTCAGGAGTCAGTTCTTTCTGTCCACCCCTTGGCTCCTAGGGATTAGACTCAGGTCCTCTGTCATGGTGGCAGTTACAGCAGGTGCCGTTACCTCGTGAGCCATCCTAGCAGCCCCCAGTTTCTTCTTTCTTTCCTCCTCCTGCCTTACTAAATTACCCTCTCTAGTATGCCCTGTGTCAGACCCTTTCAATACATGATGTAATACATCATGTTTATTTATTTTTAATTCCGTTTGTTTGTTTGTTTGTTTTTTCCAGACAGGGTTTCTCCATGTGGTTTTGGTGCCTTTCCTACATTTTACTCTGTAGACCAGGGTGGCCTCAAACTCACAGAGATCCCCCTGGCTCTGCCTCCCGAGTGCTGGGATTAAAGGCGTGTGCCACTACAGCCTGGCAATTTTTTTTTTTTTTGACAAGGTAGTATAATTAATTTTTATGTTATGTATTTGTGTGTATACATGGTTGTGTTTGTTCACATATATATGTGGTGCACAGTATGTTGACTCCAGGTGTCCATTTTATTTATTTTAATTATTTTATTTTATGTATATGAATGTTTTACCTGCGTGTCTGTAGACCATATGCATACAGTGCCTGTGGAAGCCAGTAAGTGTCAGATCTCCTGGAACTGGAGTTACAGGTAGTTGTGAGCCACCATGTGGGTGCTGGGAATTGAACACGGGTCCTCTGGAAGAGCATCCAGTGCCCTTAACTACTGAACTCTCTCCATCATCCCATATTTATTATTATTATTATTATTATTATTATTATTATTAATCATTACTATTTTTCGAGACAGGTTTCTCTCTGTAGCCATGACTGTTCTGGAACTTGATCTATAGACCAGGCTGGTCTCAAACTCAGAGATCCAGAAATTCCTCTGCCTGAGTGCTGGGACTAAAGGCATGAACCACCATGTCTGGATGTCCCACATTATTTTTTGAAACTAACTTGATTATTCTGCTGGATTGGAGACAGGTCTGCCTGTCTCTGCCCCCTCTCTACCCAGTGCTGAGTTTACAGACAACCATGCTACACTTGGCTTTTACCTGGGTGCTGGGAGTCTAAACTGAGGTTCTCATGCTTGGTGGGAGACACTTTACCAAGTGAGTCATCTCCCCAGGCCCCACGTCGTATTTTACATAATAAAAATTCTGTTTTTGTAATATAGTCTCATGTAGACCAGGCAGCCCTCCAGCTTACTGTATAGTTGAGGATGACCTTGAACTCCTGATCTCTCCTGCCTCTTCCTCCCGAGTGGTGGGATTACAGGGGTGAGCCACCGCACCTGGTTTGCATATTCATTTTTTAAAATTGTAAAATACACATAAAAGAACTTACCAGTCTGGGAATGTAGCCAAGCTGTGAGAGTGCTTGTCTTCCATGCACAGTACCCTGGGTTCCTTCCCTAGCACCTGATAGAACCAGGCATGGTGGTGCATGCCTGTAATTCTAGCAGTGGGGAGATGGAAGCAGAAGGTTAAGGTTGGACCTGGCCACATAGCAAGTTCAAGACCGGTCTAGGCTATATGACAAAACAAACAAACAAACAAACAAACAAACAAACAAACAAACACACCAATAGGGACACTTAGTACATTCTCACTGCTATATAACTACCACTGTCTACTGCCAGAACTTTTAATTTTTGTTGTTGTTGTTGTTGTTGTTGTTGTTGTTGTGGCACAGTTTCCCTATGTAGTTCAGGCTGGCTTCTAACTCAGTGACTCCTGCCTTAGCCTCCAGAGTACTGGTGTATGCTACCAGATTTGGCTTTAAAACATATTCGTCACCCAAAAAGAAATCTTGTACCCATTAAGTAGCTCTTCCTCATCGCCCCTTCCCGCATGCTCCTGGCAGCTGCTAATATGCTCTCATCATGCAGAAACCTGTGTGGATTTTCTGATTCCTTTGAAGTCTTACATCATCATGTGGCCTTTTGTGCCAGGCTCCTTCCACTTAGCGCAATGCTTCTTCCTGTGCCCATCCCTGTTGTACGATCTGGGCAGCACATTACTTCATTCCTTTTAGGGCTGATCCTATCCCACTGAGTGGACACGCTGCATTTTCCTTCATTGGTTGATGGGCAGCTGGGTTGTTGTCTACCTTTTGCCCGCTGTGAGCATTGTGGCTGTGAGCATCTGTGCACAAGTGTGTGTGTGTGAACAGCTGTTCTCCATTCTTCTGGGTGTGTGCCCAGGCGAGGACTGCTGAGTCACGGGGGCTCCACTTAACCGACTGCACCGTCTTGCACCCCCACTTACAGCACAGAAGGGCTTCTGGTTTCTCTGCACCCTTGCCAGTGCTTGGTAGATCGGATATTTGCAGGAGGGGTGGGGGTCTCCCCCCTTGGTAGTATTCTAACCCCACCCCTGGAAACCCGCCCCTCGGAGTCCCGTGACGTCTCCTTTAAAAATATCATAATGTGATTTTAGTCCTGTCTCCCCAGCGTGGCTGTCCCAGGCCAGAGTCGGGAACGGAGGACTCGGGATTTACCGGCAGAGGTGTTACTGTTTCTGTTTGGCAGACGAAAACAAAAAGTTGTGTGCCCAACACGGGGGTGGGATGTAGAGGCAGGAGAGTTCTAGACCGTCCCGGGTGACATCATGACAGCCTGACTAAAGCTGTGGGGGGCCAGAGGTGAGGAACGAAAACAAAATCTCACATCTAGCTCCTGACCTGGGTCTGTCTGATTCCCAGAGCCAGTGGCCCTTCTGTTAGTAATGCCCCATGGCCTCTTCCTTGATATTGTCACAGTGTGAGGGAAAGTGGAGGGAGCTGGGGGGCAGGTGGGTGGAGTGGAGCGTGCTCCTGACGCCCCGGTCCTGTCTGCTCAGTGAGACCCGCCTGGTGGAGGTCCTGGAGGACGTGTGCAGTAAGTCAGACTTCGAGTGCCATCGTCTGCTGGAGCTGAGTGAGGAGCTGGTGGAAGCCTGGTGGTTTCACAAGTGAGTGACGGGGGGGGGGGGGGGGGGGGGGCTTCCCTGTGGGGGGCTGACACAGGCCCTGGTGATACGTTTTTTTTTACTGTCTTCCACACCTAGATCTAAGGACTTGGTGTGGGTATCAGGCCCCCATTCTGGGCCTATTTACCCCTCTGCCAAGTGGGCAAGGGGCCTTGGTCACATGGTGTCTGGGACACATGCCCACGTTGGGCTGAATTACAGATTCAGTAAGAGGTAGGAGTAGGCGGCCGCTCGGACACTGTCTCAGCTCCCTCTCTCCCCTTCACCTCATCTGCCCCTGCCTTAGGCAGCAAGAAGCTCCAGACCTCTTCCAGTGGCTCTGTTCCGACTCCCTGAAGCTGTGCTGCCCCTCTGGCACCTTTGGGCCCTCCTGCTTGCGTGAGTCTTTCCTGGTCCTCTTTGGGGGTGGGGGGCAGACTGCTGAGGCCAGGGAGCCAGGCCGGGCTGTGTGAGAGCAGGGTTACTTGGGTAACATCTCCAGTCCTGTGCTCTGGCCTGCCTCTCAGGCCTGAAATGAACAAATTGGGTCAGGCTGGGAAGTGAAGCACAGGGCTAGCCTGGTGCAATGTGGCTGGTATCAGATATTAAATAAATGTTACCTCACCCCTGCCTCCTTCCTTCTCATGTCTGGTCAGACCTGGGGAGAGGCGGGCACCTGCCCTGAAGCCCCCGTTGTTGCTGCCTGTTCCTCTACAGCCCCAAGGCAAGGGCTGAACTTAGTATAGTCCTGTTGTATTATTTATTACTGGTGTTGTTTCTGTTTGCGGTGACAGGGTTTTCTCTGCGTGCCCAGGCTTTGTCTTGTAATAATCCTGACTGAGCCTTTCTAGGTGCTGGAATTGCAGGCACACGCCGCCATGCCAGGCTCCTAGCCCTCTTTAGAACTACTTCTCCAGTAAATGGGTAAAAGGGCTAGGTGCTGGAATGACCAATTCAGCCGTTAGGAAAGATTTATCAGATGTGGTGGTGCGTGCCTGGAATGCTGGTACTCAAGAGGATGTTCAAAGTCTATTCAGATAAATTATCTAGACTTCCTAAGGAGTCCATCTCCAATACAAACATAAACACTGTGTGTGTGTGTGTGTGTGTGTGTGTGTGTGTGTGTGTGTGTGTGTGTGAGAATAATATTTGAGTTTGAGGCCACCCTGGTCTACACAGTGAGTTCTAGACCAGCTAGGGCTACAGGAGTGAGAACTTCTCTCAAAAAAAAAAAATAGGTAAATAAAAATAAAAATAAATAAAAAGTTTACCGAATTGTTTTGCAATAGGCTATTTCATATAGCTTATGACAGAATATGTGGATATTAAAATTAATTTTCCTTTCCAAGAAATATTTAGGACCATGTAGAAAATTATGTTCTTTCGGATGACAGTGTTGCATCTAAGAGCTCACCCAATTGATGTCTGCCCACAGCATGTCCTGGGGGCACAGAGAGGCCCTGCGGTGGCTACGGGCAGTGTGAAGGGGAAGGGACTCGAGGGGGCAGCGGGCGCTGTGACTGCCAAGTCGGCTATGGGGGCGAGGCCTGCGGCCAGTGTGGCCTTGGCTACTTTGAGGCGGAGCGTAACAGCAGCCACCTGGTATGTTCGGGTAGGTAGCCAAAAGGTGTGGTGTGGGGCAGGGGCAGCCGGGATACCCGTCTGCCCGTCCTCATGCCGTCTGCTTTTTACCCAGCGTGTTTTGGTCCCTGTGCCCGCTGCACGGGACCGGAGGAATCCCACTGTCTGCAGTGCAAGAAAGGCTGGGCCCTGCACCATCTCAAGTGTGTAGGTAAGTGGGGAACGCAGGTGGGGCCTGGACTTTACCCCCTGGCCCACACCGGTGCCATCCCATTCACATGGAACCCTCAGCCTGGCTGGAAGGGCAGCAAGCCGGGGCTTTACAGCGCAGAATGACCTGCGTGCCGTGGAAGATGCATGTCCAGACCCAGGTTAGCGCAGGCCAGTGACGGATCAGGAAAGCCTTCTTGGAAGAGGTGCTACTTTGGCCAAGTCTTTTTTTCCCCCCTCCAGTTTCTTGAGACAAGGTTTCTATGTGCAGCCTTGGCTGTCCTGGAACTTGCTCTGTAGACCAGGCTGGCCTCGAACTCCGAGAACCACCTGCCTCTGCCTCCTGAGTGCTGGGATTGAAGGCGTGCACCACCCTGCCTAGCTCACCAAATCTTACAAAAACACACCAATAACAACAACAGAAACCTAGCGTGGGCTCAGCAGTGAGATGACTCAGCAGTTAAAGGTGCTTGTTGCCAAACTGAAGACCGGAGTTCAATCCCCAGAACACACACAGTGAAAGGAGAAAGCCAACTCCAGCAAGATGTCTTCTGATTTCCACACGTGTGCTGTGGTGTGAATGCACCCACACACATACGCATACACATATATGCAGGAAAATGAGAAATAACTGTTTTTTTTTTCTTTCTTAATGATGAGAATTTAAAGCCAGCTATGGTAATGCATGTCTTGGATTTAGCACTGGTATGGTAGAGGCAGGAGGATTAGGAGTTGAAAGTCCTCCTTGGAGGCATAGTAGTTTCAGGCCAGCTGGGGCTACAAGAGACCCTGTCTCATAAATTAAAAATTTTTTTTTCTCATATAACAGTCCTGATGTGAGTGGTTCAGGTTAGCAGTGAAGCTCTGTCTTGTCCGTCACTCAGGGATCCAGGTCCCCTCTATCTGTGGTCATCCCCTTGAATATAAACCCCACGGATGATGCTGAGTCACGGCCGCCTCGTGCTTCCCATCTCAGCACTCAGGAAGTGAGAAGGGGCTGATTGTTTTAAGGCTAAGGTAGAAGGTAGATGTCACACCCATCTCCATCCTCATCCGAGGGCAGAGCTTAGCTGCAGGGCAGACTGACTTGAGTCTCTGGCTGGGCGTTGCTCGTCCCGCTGCGTGATTACTTCAGAGCTGGTTGTCAGCTTGCAGCTGCTACCACGAATGTTAGCAGAGGCAAATCCACTCCTGACAGTCCTGCCTCAGTTTCCCTGCTGCTCCTGCCAAGTGACACTCCCACCCTTTGCCCTCTCCACAGACATCGATGAGTGTGGTACGGAGCAAGCCACCTGTGGAGCCGACCAGTTCTGTGTCAACACCGAAGGCTCCTATGAGTGCCGAGGTCAGTGTCCGCTGCTGAAGGGAGAGGCTGGGATGGAGGAGAGGGACAGGAGATGTCGCTTCCTCCAAACTGCTGCCATCTCTGGCTCCAGAGCCCTCAGCTCCCTGAGGTCACCTTTGCCTCCCCTCCCCTCCCCTCTGCCCTTTCCTCTTCAGATTGTGCAAAAGCCTGCCTGGGCTGCATGGGAGCAGGGCCAGGCCGCTGCAAAAAATGCAGCCGTGGCTACCAGCAGGTGGGCTCCAAGTGCCTAGGTGAGTCTCGTGCCAGTGGGGGCTGGAGTGTGGGAGAGGCAGGGAAGGAGGGTGCCACATGAGTCCCAGTGGGAGTGGAATGCAATCTGGGGTGCCGAGTGGGGAGTCACGGCAGTCAACACTGACTCCTTCCTCTCTTCTGTCCCCTCCCCCTCCTCCGCCGCAGATGTGGATGAGTGTGAGACAGTGGTGTGTCCAGGAGAGAATGAGCAATGTGAGAACACGGAGGGTAGCTACCGCTGTGTCTGTGCTGAGGGCTACAGAAAGGAGGAGGGTGTCTGCATGAAGGAACAGATCCCAGGTAAGCAGGGAGGGTGGGAGGCTGGGCTGGGCCGGGCCGGACCGTAAGGAGAGCAGACAAGCACCTCCTCCAGGCTCCACTTCACTGCCTCCCAAAGAGACCACCCAAAGAGGCTTCACTGAGCCCTGGTCCCTGCGTCTGTTCTCAGGGTTGGCTTTTGAGACTGCATTTCCTCAAATCCCAGGTAGAAAGAGAACCAGCACGTTTTCTCCTGTCCAGTGGGACCAGTCCTCTGCAAAGCCTTGGGCAGCCCCTCCACCTATCAGCTTCCTTCAAGCTTAGGGTGGCAGGGTCTCAGCCGCCCCTGCGGAGGCTTTCTGAATAGTGAATGATGCTGTGTGCTTGGTGCCCGAGGTGGGCTGGGCAGCGGTGATGAGTGTGTGAGGGTTGTGGGCAGCTCCGGGCACTGCCACGAATAAGGCACTGACATGTCACACCTCCTCTGCAGAGCCGGCGGGCTTCTTCGCGGAGATGACGGAAGATGAGATGGTGGTCCTGCAGCAGATGTTCTTTGGTGTTATCATCTGTGCCCTGGCCACACTGGCTGCTAAGGGGGACTTGGTGTTCACTGCCATCTTTATTGGTGCCGTGGCAGCCATGACCGGGTACTGGTTGTCAGAGCGAAGCGACCGTGTGCTGGAGGGCTTCATCAAGGGTAGATAATCCCTGCCACCACTTACGGGATTTCCTCCCACCCAGGATGCCCCCAGAGGTCCTATCCCTCTCCTGCTGGACACCTGGGGCAGTGGGGTTTCTCTTTGAGACTGGGGTAAATACCCTTTTACCTGCCTTACTGAGCAGCCCAGGACCCCATTAGCCCTGGGGGTTAAAAAGAAGCCCTGAAGCTGATGCCATGAGAACCTTGCCTAGGGGCCTGGCAGGCATTACAGTGCGTGACGTTCAAAGACAGTTTCTTCTTAGGGAGGTTGCGGGCTTTGGCCCCCGCCCAGGACAAGAGGTGTCCCCTCAGGGGTGGGGCCACCATAGCCTCCGCCAGGTGCATGCTGACAGCTCCTGTGTGTATTCACCTCCTACACCCCAGCCACTGACTTATTTATTCATCTCAGGAAATAAAGGAAGGTCTTGAAAACTGGACAAGCTTCAGTCTTAACTACCCATCACTACTACCTCAGTGAAGTTTTCCACAACCCTGAGAATTTAAGGGCTGCCAGGATAGAGAAGTGGTGGGGAGGGGCTGGAGAGCTGGGTCACTTGTTAAGAGTACGTGTTGCCTTTGCGGGGGATCCAGGTTCGATTCCCAGCACCCATGTGGTGGCTCACAACCATCCATCCTGCAGTTCCAAGGGACTGGACTCACTCATTCTTCTGACCTCCTTGGGTACCAGGCACACACGTGGTACACACATATATGCAGGCAAAACATTCATACACATAAAGCAAATCTACAGACTTTTTTAAAATTAAAAAAACAGAAGTAGAGAGAAGAAGAAAGATTACAGAGGAACCAGCTTAGGAATTGATCTTTCTGGGTTGAATACCAGCTGTCATTGCAGGACCCAAATAATGCAGGACACCTCCAAACTTCACTTTCTCATTTCTGAAGTGGGCAGAATGCTTTCCATTTAGGCCTAATGTGGGGATTGCAGGAGGTGGGACTCCACCACAGCAGACAGGTTTTTAGTGCGATAGTGGTACTGTTCTTACCAAAGCCAGGGGCAGCCTTCCTCAGAAAGGTTCTTGGTTCCTGTGGGGAAGGGCTTCCTGTCTCTCCTGTAAGGGTGTAGGATCCTGGCCTGACCATCGGGAGGCATGAGCCTAATCGGAAGGGTGTATTTCTTTGGCACAAAGAGGACAGTCAGTCTGGACAAGTGAGGTGCATCTCTCCATTTTGGGGAATCAGGAGTACCTGGTCCCTACTCCCCATGATCAAACCATGCACGTCCACCCTGTATTCCGTGTAACTCACAGCCTCTGTGCAAAATATCTGCTGAAAAAAAGGATAGAAATATTCAAAACAAAACAAAAAAAAAAACGAGTCTGGTGAATTCAAGCCCGTCTGTCCCCGGGAGCTGCAGTCAAGTGCAGGCCCCAGAAGGCCAATTTTTCAAATGCTCAACTGTTTTGGCTCGGCAACTTCATGTGGACCTTGAGGGGAGCGTCCAGGTCCTCCCTGGCAGCCGCTCAGAGCTCTATAGTGTCACTGGATGCGCTGTGAGATTCGCTGGCCTTGCTGCGGGTCTGGCTCTCGCTCTGAGGCTCCCCGGCCCGGGCAGGCGCAGGGGCTGGAGTAGGCGCTGGCAGCAGCTGCACGGTGCTGGGCAGCTCATCCAGGGGCAGGCTGTCCACGGACGACACCCCGTGACGCCACGGGTTCCAGCTGATCTTCAGCGAGCCCTTGGAGAAGCTGTCCAGGGAGCTGCCCGAAGTCCCCGCGGCCGCCGCGCTCACGGGCGGGTCCACCACGTGCTGCGGGAGCGGCTTGCGCAAGCACACCTCACTGAGCGAGCAGCAGCGGCCTCGGAGCAGCGAGGCGCCCGCGCCGTCGAGCTCAGCGTCCGGCTGGCTGCCGCGGCGAGGCCGCAAGGCGCCCCCTGGCGGCGACGAGGCCAGGCCACGGAGGCCACAGCGGTGGAACACACTGTCTCTAACCAGATGCTCCCGGAAGAGGGCGGCGTCGATGCTGCGGCTCAAATTGATGGGCGAGGGTGGCCGCAGATCCAACTCGCTCAGCGACGGCGCAGGCCCCACACTGCAGCGGGACATCCCCGGGCCACCTGGGCGACCGCGACCCAGCGATGCAGCCGAACCCCAGGGTCCGGAACCAGGCGTGGCAGGAAGCCCAGCTTCCGCAGCGTTGCGAATGAGGCTTTTGCTGATGTCCAGGCCGCCTGTGGCCAGGCCACTGGGCCCCGCATAGCAGTTATTTGGTCTCTCGGGTACCTCGCTTTTGCCCGTGGGCGCGGGACACGCCAGGCGTAGCAGCTTAGCCCAGCAAGCGTGCTCTGTGGGCGGCCTGGGACGGGTGGCAGCCAGGGCGGCCAGCGCCAGAGCCAGTGCCCAGGTCAGCTCCAGCAGGCGCAACCAGAAGTGCACACCCCACCAGGCCCAGGAGAAGCGACCCTCCCGGCCCGGTCCTGGGTACAGCCAGAGTGAGGCTGCCAACTGCAGACCACTGGCCAGCAGCCCCAGCGAGCCCGCCACAGCCAGCAGCCGCGGGCCTGGACTGGCATCCCAGCCCCGAGGACCTTCCAGCAGGCGGCGACGGCAGAGGCAGAGTGTGCCCAGAGCCACGGATGCGCCCCAGGCGCAAGACAAGCCTTGTGTCAGGAGGTTGAGCACAGGCCTGGTGGAGAACAGATCTGTGGCCAGCAAACCTGCGGCATGCACTGGTGCCACAACACCCAGCAGGAGTGGCTTCTGCAGAGGCTGTGGCAGCCCGGCACCCAGGCCCAGAAGGGTGAGCGCCGCCAGTGCAGTGAGCAGCAAGGGGAAGGGCAGGTTGTACAGCACCAGGCCGGCACGTACTCCCAGCCGCGCCTGAGAGCCGTAAGGATCGGTGAGCATGTAGGCAGATCGCAGCCCTGAAGCTACCAACACCAGCACGGCTGCCACTAGTGCCAATCGGGATCCCGCCAGGGCAGCTGCCAGTGTGACCAATGCCAATAATGCTGGAAGCAGGAAAAGCACCCCCACCCCATAGACATGAAGCTCCCAGGAAAAACTCAGCACCCGCCGCAGGGGTCCCCAACGCAGGGGAGGTGCGGTGGCATTGGCTGGGGGGCTAGAAGCTGGGTCTGGAGCCATGGAGCTGGCTGAGGGCTCCGGAGCGAGTGGCTGGCCCAGGGCTCTCTGTGTAGTGACTCTAATAAGGCCACGCCGAGATGTCGAGGGGGCCTGGACAGGGGGTGCTGGAGGGTGGCTTTGTGGGCGACCCGGCCATTCCTCGGCTTCATCTGCAATAATAACAATATTAAAAGGGTTCCTTGGGAAGTGCTGTTGAGAGCGGGGTGCGGAGGCCCATGCTTGTAATAGGAGGCAGGGGCAGGAGGATCAAGACTCTAAAGCCATCTTCAGCTACATAGTGAGTTCAAGGACAGTCTAGGCTACTTGAGACCCCCATCTCAAACAAACAAACAAACAAACAAACAAACAACAAAAGGACCCCAAACAGACACAAAGTGCTTTTGATTTTTCCATATTCAAAACTGTAGTTAGTAAATTAATTATCCAAGGACATCTGTCGGATGAAGACAAGAGCACCTGCCACAGTCATGACCAGGGCACAATGTCTAGTTTGGTTCCCACCGGCTAGCAAAGACAAGACGGATGTAAACTTCCTTCCTTTTTTTTTTTGGTGGTGTTGGGAATTGAACCCAAGACCTTCATACGCCAGGTAATAAGTCTACCTACCACTAAGCCGCATCTCCAAGCCCTTTGCATTTTTTTGATTTTGAAACAGTCTCACTGAGCCTTGAACTCAATATGTAGTTCAGGCAGGTCTCAAACTTGAGATCCTCTTGTCTCAGCATCAAGAATGCTGGGGGTTCCAGGTGGGATGGAGAATGGCCGCACACGATAACGCCCGTGTTGCTCAGAAGAGCATCCTAGCTCAGAAGAGCCAGTGTCTTCCCCTGGAGTCCCCAGTGAGCACTGGTTGATTTTTCTCAGCCACTCAGAGGAGGTCCTAGCCAATTCCTTTAGGCAGGTAAGTGCTTTTCTCCATTTAGCCCCTCTGGCCCATCACTAAGCACAGGTTCTAGGTTACCCTCCCTCACCCCTGGCCATGGCCTCACCTGGCTGCAGGGCCCTCACAGGGCTTTCTGTTCCATTTGCAGCTGGAGCAGAGTTTGGCAGATCAGGGACGAAGGACCTGGGGGTTCCTGGAGCCTCCATTGCTCCTCGCACGCGCTGTGGGGAGATGGGGTCTGCTCCATTCATCGAGGCTATTGCTGAAACGGCAAGAACAGTCACCACCTCTCTGACTCTCCAGTGTTCCCCCAAACCCGGTCCCTCAGGAGGAAGGCACCATGACCCTAATTGGTCAGAAGGAGGGAAACGACACCCAGAGTTACACCTAGCTGCCTTGGACCACCGGTCCTCACAACCCCACTCAGCCCCGTCATGGTGGTACCTACCTGGTCTTAGCTGCCCATCAGAAGTGTCTGAGGCTGAAGGTGGTATGGGCTGGGGTGCTGGGGAGTCTTGTCCTCCAAGGAGGTCAGTCTGCTCAGGTTGGGGTCCCAAAGAGCTGACTTCCCAGGTATCTCCAGCTCCAGCCTTTTTGGGGGGCTCAGCGGGCAGACCCTCAGGAAGAGGAAGGCTTCTGGCCAATGCCAGGTCTAGCTGGGCTCCAGGCTCCTGAGTGGATGCCACCTCAGCTGGGGATGCTGAGCCAACCTCAGGGGCTGCTGGTTCCTGCTGGGTGAGTAGGGGGCCCTGGACAGCCTCCTGGAAGCCCTCTTCCTGCCCACTCTGCTTTCCCAGCACAAGCCTCCTCACAGCACCTGTTTCAGGTACCAGCGTGGGGGGAGAGCCCTGGTAGTCCCAGGGGGAAGCCTGTGTGATGGGGGTCTTGGCGTTGGCTACTGGACCCTCATTCCTAGCTGGCTGTTGTCCTGTTGGGCCCCCAGGCTCCTGTGGGGCAGTGGCAAGTGTGGCTATCCTGAGTTGAGGGCTGGGAGATGTAGCGGTGAACGTGAGATGGGGTGTTCCCACTGGGTGGGGGGCTGGTGCTTCTGGCCCTGGAAGCTCCTGTGAGTCGTGAGATCCTGTCCAGCCTTGGGAGGTAAGCCCTCGGGCCAGCTGGAGGTCATCAGTTACTAGGAGTCTTTCACCCTGGACCCCGGGCACTGCTTTGGGTCCACGCAGGGCTGGTCCTGGGGGAGAGTCTGCAGGCCTCTTGGGGCCATCAGCAGGGGCCTGGGGGATGCCACTGTGCCAGGAACTCTCATTTCTCAGCTTCTCCCAGAAGAGGTCAAAGGTCTGCGGCTCTGAGGGGATCAAGTGGGGTTCTGAGTCCTCAAGTGGTCTGGGAAGACCTCTGCCCAAGGCAGGGCCAGCCCTCAGGCAGGGCAACAGCAGAAGGAGACGGCATACAGAGCCTCGTGAGCTAGGGGCCATGGTTCAATTCGG